AGTGGTCTGGGACAGCTGGAAGTGGACTGTACAAGGAAAATGAAAAAGGCTTTAATGATTACTTAATGTCACTGCTGACACACTACCACCATGTAATTTCATTAAGACCAGGTCTCCATTGACATTTACCTCTTCCTTACAAATAACGAAAAAGTCTGAGAGACACTGTTTACTATCTTTCTACTGAGGAGGTACATACATACAGTTATGTCAAATCATTTCGCATATGTAATGATCAGGAGCGTATAGCACCGAATTCTGGGCCCTATGCATATGCAGTCTCTGTGGACCCCCCATCCTTCCTTTTGATTCTTGTCTCTCTTACACACATCTGAATTGTTTTTACACAGTCTGTTTGCTTGCTTTTCCTTTCCTTCTTTTATTTTTCATAACCCTCATTTCCCCTTTCTTGAGGAACAACATGACATTGTACACTGGTCCTCCAGCATCATAAGCCAGCCTGTTCTCATTCCGAATTCATCGAATATCATCGCTTTGTCAGACACCTGATGCCAAAAGCCACCTTAAGTAGCAGTGTGATATGCCACCAGGTGGCGTCAGTTTGTAAAGTGACCCAACGTAACCTTCAACGGTGTTACAATACGCCACTGGTCAGCTGGATGGCACCTGTCGAAGCATTATGATACGCTGCTGGACGGCGTCAGGTTGAAACGCTGCTAACGACATATCATAAGGAGCTGGAAAGCTCCTCTAGGGCAGGCAGGAAGGGTGGTGGATGGGTCCAACAAACCCTGGACTTTCACCTGGGAGCCCTGTGTTCACTTCTTACTTAAATGTAAGCAGCTGTGCGGAACTTTTCGTTTTCGTTGATTATAGCGCCCCTTTGGTCGAAGCAGTATGACACCCACAGCCTGATGTCGTAAAATCTCCACTGCAACTGGCAATTACCGTATGCATTTGTTTTGGAGAGTGAGAGGATTAACTAACGTCAGGTCAGTCCAAATAATTAGTGGAAACAGCAAAATGACTCAGTAAATTCTCCTGTCGTGTTTCTGTTCTGATCTAATTCTAACACAGCAAAGCTGTTACCTGTAGCCTTCGCTTGCAAAGCTAACGCTACTTTAGGTCAGTCCAAATAATTAGTGGAAACATGCTAACGTTACACAAGTCAGTAGTAAAGTAGTATATTGAAGTGAAACAATGTCTAACAAGTTGCGGTATATTCTCTAAATAAAAACAAAAATTACATACCTGTTGATTAGGAAAAGGGCCAACTCGGGATCAGTTTTAAAACCTTTCAATTCTCTCAGCTCTCTCCACTTGGTGAATGCCCGACTGAGGTTTGAGCCCTATCACTGTCCCCTTTAGCCTTCTTCTGTTCTTTTTCTTTTAGATGGTGCTCCTTCGTTATCCGCCATGACATCAAAAGTACAACCAAATCCTTATAGATACATCTCTGGTAAAACTGTTATGTGTTCAGCAATGCCAGTTGCGTACCGCTTACTTGGAGAACACTCTCTGTAAACACGGCTCCTTCTTCTTCTGTGGTTTAATGACTGCAGGCCGCTGCGGGCTGATACGAACTAGGGACAGTTTTATTAATGGTAAAAAGTCCCACACAGCTGCTTTAAATGTAGAGCCAAACCATGATGTTTTTTTTCTAAATCAAACCACATGCTTTCGTTGGCTAAACCTAACCATGCGCTTTTGTTGGGGTGACGTTGGTCAACACATTCTCACACTGACCTCATCACATATCGACTTTGGGTCATGGACTTTCGACATCGAGAAATACCGTGCAAGGTACCCGGGTGCATTGGTTTTTGACGTTCTGGTTGAACATCAAAACAAACATTTCATGCATTGTCTGTTTTCAAAACTACACTTCCATTTTCACAGGAAATGTACAGTTTGCATACTCTTCCAAAATAAATGCACTATGTCGGTACAACACCACGAATAGATGCTTTATTCCTTCAACAACAAACACACATGGTTGGGTTTAGGAAAAAAGAACAGGGTTTGGCTTTACAATCTTATGGGATGCGAACACCGCACTCCTGGGTAAAAGTTGGTGGTTGTTGGACCCATCCACCACCCCTTCCACCCACCCTACTCGGCCTTTTCCCACCCTGATGCCGCCGAGCACCATCAAACGATAACGGCGACCAGCCATGTATCATGCCAACGTTAAAGGATGTCTTTTTTTCGTTGGTGTCTGATGCTGGAGGTCACTGACAAAGCGCCGGTGTTTGATGATTTTGGTGCGAGACTGGGTTGTGTGGGTAGTGATATCCAGGAACGTCAACAGCAAATGCTGGAGGATACCTAGCGCGTAATATGTAGATGTGAGAGGCCACTGACAAAGCCTTGATGTGTGACAACTTGGGATGAGTTTTACATAAGCACTCATTAACAGACATTAACAGACAAATCCTAGTGCAGGGGCAGACTACACCATTTTGCGTCTTCAAGGGGTGAGAAGGGCCTCAGAGAGCTTCTACTATTTTTTTATACGAAGTTCAGTCTTTTAACTGATTTATTTTGCCAATTTTAATTTAGTCATGGCAAATATACTTAGAAATAAAAACAAATTGCAAACTAAACCAAACTTTTCATTTCAGGTTTTGTGTAATCAGTCCCACTTTCCCCCCCACTGCAACAGCCCTGATGATAATATTGCATAAGTGCAATTACAACAATCAATATAATGCATTACTAACAAATACAATTAAATATTTACTGTTCAGCATAAGCATAGATTTCAGGGGGGGATGCATGGGACACGTCCTTCTAAATATTTAGGACAAGTACATTTGTCACCTCCCAACAAAAACATGTAAGTGGCAGAGAACTTTTATTTTGATGAAATTAAAGACATTCCCATGATAAATTCATAAAAGGCACAAATTGGTCAATGAAAATAAACCAAAATATAGGAAATCAAGTGTATGACACTCAAAGTTTCCTGAGAGACAACCTACATGCTTCTCTTTTGGGGGATTATCTTTATCCACACATTGCCTTTGAGGCTCAAGTCAAACAGTACTTGCACTCGTACCTACTACTTTTATATCAATTTTTTCATATACATACCCAAAGATAAGGATTTCACACAGCAGACAACATAATGAGCGCCTTAAAATGTATTTGCATCTTTCTCAGTTATCTAACTACCTGCCTACTTCTAGTGCGCAGAGAGTGCAATAACTGACTGATTTGTTAGGAGTGCTTTACATGTTTCAACATGTTTTGGTACCAGTAGTGTTTTTATAGAGAAGATAATATTAAGATAAAGTTATATTAAAATGCTATATTTTGCAATATAGAGCGCTCAAGCACAGCACAGCACCTTTGTGCTGTTTTCACACTACGAGTGACACAGCAACAGGCTACAGGTCATTTCTAGTGGAGGCTGGTGATATGAGGCTCCACACTGAAGCCTGACACTTGTCGCTACATGACTGGCGTGACAGGCTACAAATCAAAATTGTGCGGACCTCAACGTTTTACAGTGGTCCAATGGCACAGTGAAGCGTCTACCAATCATATGCTTTTGTTTCTAGCTGTGCTATTTAGCTAAGTTAGCTGGAGCTATGCTAGCTTTCTGTATATTGTGGTGCACACAAGGATGCAATGGGGAGGCAAAATGTGATCTTAAAATGGTGCACTGACATTAATCAAAAGCAATATTTTTTTGACCAAATGCAAACTTTTGATGACGTTGAGTGGAGGTGCTCTTTTGCAAGTAGCAGGCACTTGAGCAACACAACTCAGCGATAATGTACCTGGCCACACTGTTGCTTTGTCACTGGTAGTGTGAACACAAGATTAGTGTTACCACACTTAAACAATCAGCAGGCTGAATCGGACTCAAGCAGGATTTATACATCTGTGTCGAATTTACGCCATACCTACAGCGTAGGTTCTGCGTAGATGTGTACTCTAGGCTGTAGCCTATGCCTTGGCCTGACATGCACATACCTCAGTGGAAATGAAGCTTATATTTACTTGTAGTTCACAGTGTGTACATAATAAATTGTGAGGTCAATAAAGCCCCACACAAAACAGAAATTTAAGTCCTGTGTGTGACTGATCCTGGCTTTACATGAGTAGAGAAAAACTCCACTAGTTGCTAGGCTAATTTATGCTATGTGAAATGCCATAGGCTTATATTAACATTAGCAGGTTGTATTTGTGGGTAAACCACGTCTAGTTTAAGACAGTTGTTTTGTTGGTGAACCTTGTGAGTTATAATGAAGCTGAATTTTGTACCTTTGTTAAATGTTGCTGTTGTTCTTGGTGTCATATGAGTAGAGGAAAACTCCCCTAGCCACTAGGCTAATTTATACAATGTAAAAATGCAACAGACTTGTGCTAATAACATTAGCATTTTGTATTTGTGGGGAAAATGGGTCCAGCAAAAGACAAATATTTTGTCTGTGAACCTTGCGAATTATAATGAAGCAGATCTGTGTACTTGTGTTTGAAATTGTCGCTATTAAGCCACTTTTGGATTGTGTATTGTGGATTTTAGGTGTGTTTTGAATAAAGTTACAGCACTTTATAGAAACCCCACCAATGGCTGGCGTTTTGGAGGTGTAACTGCAGAGTGACACAGACACACCACTGCAATAGTATGTTGACAACAGCATAGGCTCTGCATAGAGCCAACTCACAACTATAAATCTGCCTCTAAGCAGTAATCAGTAGCTACATTTTTTTGTCGAAGCCAATGTCTGAGTGCTTAAATCTGCCATTCCTTTCATGGTAAATAAATGCTAGTTCCAAAAATCTTAGCGAAGTCAATAAAAAACTGCTAATTTCTTTTTTAAAGTACACCTGGCCAAGTTAGGGTTTCAGAAGTAATATGTCTTTTTTTAATGTGTCTCGGTGGCAGTTTTGAGAATTTGTAGCTCCAGTTACTGCCAAGATTTAATCAAGCACAAATTCCAAATCCAAACTTCATGACCATTGCAAACCATGCCTGGCATCTTCTCTGGGTTAAAACAAACACTGCATTTCTTGTGAAATCAGATGTGGTGACACACAATTTTAAAAGTAACACTGACTGAGGCTGCCAATCTTCTTAAAGATTATCTTTATCTCTTTGTAATGATTTTGAAAAATGTGTGAACATGTAAGTGGTAATGAATGTCAATGTGACACAAGGCCTTGCAAATTTTATGAGGCAGCATGTTGTGTCCTACATCTTGGAGTACAAATTTCAATGAGAACACTGGTGGACAAATTGTATCTTGCCTCAGACAGCATGTACTTTTCTGAGTCGTGCAACAGCCTGCTTCTCTTTCTCATGCCGTTTTCTTAGGATTTCCAGTGTGGCCAGCTGGGAGATGTCCAAGTCCTCCAAGTAAAGAGCGTGCTCAGTGAAGTCTTCAGACTGGTGTTTCTGTCTTTCTTTTGGTTGAGACTGTACAGGAGGTTTGGCAATGGTCTTAGCATATTCCAAAGCCTAACATTGAGAGACAGAGAGAGAGATCAACATGTTAATCTACTAACTAATCATTGTACACAAGCTACAGCAAAAATGGTAATGGTCCTCCAGATTTGTCAGTAAAACATCTATCAGTCGCCTAGAATCATTAAGGCTATGATGTAATAGACTAGCACCATGTTTTTGTTTATTCCATGCACGTTTTAAGACACTATAGCAGTTCTAACGTTACTCAGCGCCATTAGCCTGTGTTTTGACGATGTGCTGTAATGTTATCACGCTGGGATTTGTGAAATACAGAATCACACAGATTCCTGGAGGCTCACAACTGTTTCACCAGTGGATAAACAATCGTACTGTGTGGATAAAGCGTCAGATCCTGTTTGTTTAACCAGAAACAGCACTGAAATCGTCCTTATCAAATCCACCAGATTCGATTACAAAACAGTAATTTTAGTGTGAATACAGACAACATATTTTCACATATAATTGAATGGATTAAGTATTTATTTAAACCAAACCAGAGTTAGTGATTGTTAAAATGGTGAAAAAAGAGAGACCAAGATGGTTTCCGTGAGTTTTATATTGTTTCTGTCTATTCTGAATGAAGTGTGTTTTACTATAATAAAATTATTGTTTATTCAAATGGAATCTGGTGGACTTGATTAAAGTGATTTTGGGGTTGTTTCTGGTTATACAAAAATGATCTTAGTCTTTAGCAAAGTTAAGTTCTATCTCTGTAGGTATCCTTTCCATAATGTTGTCAGACAATCTGAGCCTGTCAGTGGCAAAAACAAGCTCTTTTAGTGGACGTAAACTGATGGTGCGAACATGCCCCAAGTGCTTACATTGCAGCCTGGCTGCTGCCCTTGCTCATTATTGGACCCATTTTTAAAAATGTTGTTTTCATTAGTCACTTAGATACAAAAACATAGGAAAATATAAAATATGGTCCAGTTTGAAATATACACTTAAACTCTGGATTTTTAAGTTTATTTGATGAGCAGAAAACCACACAGCAACTCTTAAGCACAGCAGCAATTGCTTTGTTTTCCTCCTCGGCATAAAAGGATGAGATGTTTTATTCAAAATTAATTGTACAGTATTTTACCGTAATGAATAATAATGTTTTGTTAACCAGCTGTGTGTGACCTGTTATCCAGGACCAACAGCATTACACTCAGTGAATCCAGATAAGTCACCAACAGCTGGTCCTAGTTAAGGCTTTGTCAGACAGGTCCAAGGTTGGAACCATGTAGTGACATTCTTCATAATCTCACACACTCTTTCTTGGTCTTTTTGCTTAGTCAAGCACACATGCCTGTTGTATTAAAAAAAAAAAAAAAAAAAAACAGACATGTGCTAGGTTTCACACACACACACACACACACACACACACACACACACCTTTATCCTGGGAACTTTCTTGTCATTGCCTTCCGGGTCCTTGGCCAGTAGAAAGGGAATCCTCCTTATGTTTTTGTTCTGCTCGCGGATCACATTTGAATACAGCTTCTGTCGTTTCATTTTCTCAGCATGATGAGAGAGGGAGTGAGAGAGAAATAGAAGCAGATTATAAAAGGGGGTTTAATTAACGGAGCCATTTCTCCCTTAAGGCCCTTCTCTTTGTGCGTCCCCCCCCCCGGCAGATCCTCTCCACACAGCCCAACAAAACCAAACACAGCGAGCCATTCAGCGGGCCTATCAACATTTACACATATCATTCACTAATAGGCTTGGACCTGAAGATGCCCGGGGCTCAATCTAGTGTAAATTGGCCAAACATGCTCACTTTTTACAACTGGGGATTAACAAAAGATACATCACAGTACAAAGCACTTAACTTCTTAGGGGTGCTCTCGTTTGCTTTGTAAATGTAATTTTATCTGCGGGACAGCATGGGAGCCTTTAAATGATGAACTCAGACAATGGGAAGAGGGTCAGCGGGTACAATGACACTAGTGGACATCAGGATTTAGGCACAGGAGGCTGACTGAAAGACAACCAATCACGTTTGTCCAAACAAATTCTAATCATATTTCTTTTTCTTCATGAGTCACTCCTTACAGCTGATATTGCCTAACAGCAAATAACATCCTGGTATGTGGGGCAGCTTTTGTATCCTGTTGTCCTGTATTATATTCTATTTTTTTGGCTAGAAAAAATAATTAAAGGCCAGAAAGGTTCTTAAATGCAGAGAGCAAAAAAAAAATAATTTGGATGCTTGTCTACAGATACATTTCTGCCTCATATTGGTGAAATTTTTCTCAGAACATGGATAAATGCATGTAAAAACTGTACCAGACCGCTGTCATGGAAGCTACAGAGGCAGATGTATGTCTCCTGCCCAGTGTGAACCACTGCCTTATTTACACTATACAGTTCAGCTTGACTTGACTTCAGGCAATTTTGGTACCAGGTGCTTTTCTCTATTAGTGACACTATCACTCTCTCTCAATTATGGCTTCTTTTAGCTTTCTATTTTATTTTCTAATTATCAAGAGAAGCATTTCTGTTAGTAAAACTGTCCAACACCTTTCTACATGTTATGGGAATAAGAATAAAATGGGTGACCTAGTGCAGAAACACCTGTCTATGGCCAAATGCAGAACTGGCTGTGTGTGAATCTGTGTGTGTACCTGTTTGTGCAGTGTCTATTCGGTTTTGTGTTGCCCATTCAGCCTTTTCAGTCTTCAAGTCTCATTATCATCAAGGATCAAGGATATCAAGGATTTTTTTTTTTTAAATCGTGTTTATTATATGATTGTTTTAGCTTACGTATATTGACCCCATATGGCCTTTTATTGGCCTTTTAATAATAAGGATTTTTTTTAAATTTAATGTTTAGTATCCCAGTGTGGGGTTAAAAGTGCTCTAGGAGTGTTCCATCTTAACATGAATATAATTTCAGGTCTAAGATATCAACAGCTGCAAACCAAAATATACGATAAATGTTAGCACCCCTAAAAAATAAGAGCAGTAAACCCAATTTATATTCACCAATTGCCCAGGAAACATTCAGAACTCACAGCCATGTTGACCATTTCAAGGCCTGCTCATGCACTATCCAACAACACTTAAATCTATCTGTGCAGTTTTTTGATAAACTAGAAAAGTCCACTCAGTAGAGTGTAGATCTCTGCCAGGCAGTCATCCAGGCTGATTGCAGCCACACTAGACAAATTTTGTAATTCCAGCTGACACAGTGCAGTGCATGTCAGAAGCCCCCCAGTAGCTAATAAAAAGACGCACCATGTCTATTTGTTAGGGAGCTGCATTGCACAGAGCAGATAGAGTTCTCCTACTGACAGGCACTGTATGTGAAATTTAGATACCAAATAATTATGAGGATGAATATATATTCAATAACTAGAACACATCCAAATCAAATCACCAAATCTTTGGTCCATGTCATTTATAACTAAACTTTTAAGAATGCTAACTTTGTCTATAACTACAGCACAATAACAGCACACAGAACAAAACTAGGTGCAGCGATAGAAGCTGCAACTTGCAGCAGCTACACCCTGTGGAATTGTCCTACCCAGATCCCTTACAGTCCAGATGGCAGTGGGGATAACATAAACAGCTGACTTTACCTTGTATTGTACCTTACTTTAGTGGATAATAACATATCGGGTATGGAATTAAAGCTGTAGATGCTCCCGTTCAAAATGACACCAAACTTTTCTATGAATGTCAGTTTCTGAGCGACGACGAAGGCCAAAATGTGGCCTGCAACAGACGGTAAGGCTTGTTGTTTTTAGCCAAGCCAATTTCCAGAAAACTTGCCGCTCCTACTGGCCAGTTAAGAGGAGTGAGGAGTCACCAGTCAATGACGGTATAAAACAGACAATAACTCTGTTTGAATCCCCGCAACCTTGAGAGATCCTTGATCATACAGTCATGAATGTGCACACAACATATTAGGCTGATAGGTCTAGTAGTATGCCAGATTAGCTGTGAACAGACAGATACTTACACACACAAACACACGCACACAACCATACGCCCTGAGGAGATAATGAGCCCACCTAACACATACTGGTGAGTCAGTGAAAATTTCTGACTGATGTTGCAGGTCAATACTTACTGTCTTTTCAATGGCTTTGTAGTCAGGACCCAGGCCTCGCAGATTTATATCTGATTTCAGCTGCGTGTAGTCTTTAAGACTGTATGCCTGGCAGAGAGAGAGAGAGAGAGAGAGCGAACATCAAGTGACAGTTTTGATTACTTAATTTGAAGCTAACTTTTGAACTGCATTTGTTTTGATGGCTGTCAAAATGGTACCATGGCAGAAACAATAAATTCCAGACTGCAATTTTTGTCCATCTTGATGTCTCTCATTGTATTCAAATGGCGCACTGAGAAAAACATGACTAATAATAGCAAAATTATAGATAAATGTCTGGCAGACAACATGGCGTGACAGAGCCTCAACGTGAGTGACAGTGACTTTACCAAACATGTTGTAACACTCCTTCCTTCTTGTTTGGCCGTCTTGCGGACTCCACTGCACTACAAGAGGGTGCAGGAAAGTGCCCAGCAATTTTAGAAAAACTTCCACTACTACTCCTATAGTGTACATAGATGAGGTATACTACTGTATCCCCAACTACAATGCAGACATACTGTGTATACAACTGTGTATGGAGAAATATCTGACATAAATAAAAGTCTCAGATGGCATTCCTTGGAACAAAATCTGGTCAAATGGGGCAATGTGACCTCATGTGCATCTATTTGGGGGGTTCTTGACATGATAAAGCCTGATTCTGTTTCATGCTCAGTGACACATATGCCACACACCCAGTGGCGTGGCTCCAGGTATGTCAGTATCAGTCAGTCCACCACTCTGGACAGACTGAAATATCTAACTATTGGATAGATCACCATGAAATTTGGTACAGACATTCGATGGCCCAAGATGGTAAAGCCTACTGACTTGAATAATCCCCTGATATCTTGAAGGTGGTATTTTTATTGAAAAGTTTTAATAACTAGTGGATGGGTGTCATGAAATTTGAAACAGATATTCATGGTGCCCAAAGGATGTGTCTTAATGACTTTGGTGATCCTCTGAGTAGTCATCTAACACCACCATACCTGCAAAACTCATGACCTTCCCATCAGTCTCAGCTGTAAATAGCACATGTCAGCATGCTAACAGACTAAAGTACATAGTAAACCTGCTACTGTAAACATCTAACATTTAATTGCATTCTTGTGTTAAAGTGATTGACACATGATCCTTGCTTGTGCCCTGTAGTTCATTCAGATCACATCTAAATTAAACAACATTTTTAGTCTAATAACTTCATTTTTGTGGATTTTGATGGTTTGTAAGTGGTATTCTTTTTTTGTCAATGATAGTGGCTGTCTAGGTCATGCTAACTACTAGGTGGAAAAAATCAATAAAAAAAAAATCAATTCACTTAAGTAACGTGAGTATTGTTTTAACAGGATAGAGTGGTGTTGTGTCGGTATGCCTGTTGCCGTAATCCTCGAGTGCTGTAACTCACTCTCTTTGATGCACTGTCTGTTGGAGCTAGATCAAATGAATGATTCAGAATGTATATATTATCTGAAGCCAAATTTTCAAACCAGTGATATTCATACTGGTTTAAATAAACAATTTGATTGTATTTCCCGATCTTTTCTTAGCAACAGTTTTGTATTATTTAAGCAAATAATAGATGGGGCTATTACTTCAAGTTTCACAGAAAGTTAAAACATTTATTGCGGTAGTCTATGAGTATCAATTTCAAGAAAAAAAAAGCTAAAGCAAGAAAGCAGATAACGGCAGATGATTCGGGGACAGGGACCTTCATCTGCTTGAATAGCAACTCAAATTCAGCCAGCCCAGCATAAACTTCCTGTCCGGTAAGCAACTTTCTGTTGCTGCTGTTACACAGATTAGACCCAGCCTGCTGTGAACCCTGGCACTGCGGTTTGCGCTGGCTGAATTTGAGTTGCTACAGCCACTACTGAAGGTCAGTCTCCAAAACTCATGCACACTTTCCTCCTGACAAACAGTTTCCTAGAGGCAGGGCTGGAGGTGGAGGTGACTGTGGGATGCACAAGCTAGATAATTCTTGTCTCATTTGTGCTCTTATAAACAGAGAGAGAAAGGGAAAGCTTGGGGAGAGACTGAGTCAATCATTGCACCACAGCTCTGCGATGAAGTCAGATTTTACCCATTTTAAATACTTAAAAAAAAGAAAATCAATAAGTGGCAGTCGGTGTTGACACTGTGGCAGCTGCCACAAATAAATCAATGTCTGGGAAACACTGCAGGGACAGCTAAATGTAGCAGTTTAAGTTTACTTCAAAAAGTATTTTTTATTCATTCTATTGTACATGTACATTTTAGTAAGTAAGTAAAGTTTATTTAATATAGCACCTTTAACAGAGCAAGGTCACAAAGTGCTTCACAGGAATACAATTGTTAAAAATAAGACCATAAAAACAGTTATTAGTTTATTTACCACTTTTCTATGCAGTATATGATGCTGCTGAAATAAAGGTCAGAGAGACTGACTGATGTGATGTACAATGTTTTTGAAATATGCCTCATGATATACAGTCTCTACAAGTGTACGATTTTGTGATGGTCTAATGTTACAAAATCACAATAAATCGTAATATTAAATCAGCACCCCAGTATCATAACAGTGTCAACTGAGGAGATTAGCATATTGTCCCACCCTACTTTTACATCACATGAGTTTCTGTGCACCAGCGGTTGTTTCCCTGTGGAAACCACATTCAGAGTACAAAGAGTGTGGGAGCTTTAATAGGATTTTGCATAAGATACAGTGCTTCCTTATCAGACTTTGATATGTTATTAAAGTACTTGGTGATGGTGAACTGAAGTTGGTTGCTGGTGTGTGTGTGTGTGTGTGTGTGTGTGTGTGTGTGTGTGTGTGTGTGTGTGTGTCACCATACGTGAATGGGTGCATGCAATCCACATACTGTCCTAAACAAAAGAGGGCTAATCATTCTAGATTCTACTGGCTGCTTTTCAGAAAAAGGATTTCAGTTTCAGTTTGCTTGAGCCATCGGCCATGGACACAACAGGGTACCTTTCTTTCCAAGTCGTCTCCCCTCTCTCTCCAAACCCTAAGTCACGCTCATCTGCTTTCATGCCCAGGCACTGCAGCAAGACTGCTTTACAAACTGAGTCTGTAATCTCATCAGACATGATGGCTTACATGGTGGGAGAGATGGGAGGTCAAGGGACAAGGAGTGTTGGGCACCAGAGAATGAATATGTGAAGGCTACAGATTGAATACAACTCTAAGCACTTAATCATGCTTTCTAGCCTTTCTTTAATTAAAGGGATACTTTGCCAATTTTCAACCAGCTTTGTATGAAAACAATGTGGATAGTATGTGTAAATTAATGATGTTTAACTTCCCTCCATCTAATCGGTGCCTAGGTATCCCCTTCACCCATCCAACCCCCCTGGCGAAACTCCACCAGATTATGCAGATGACTCAAAATGGGTCATCTGAGTTTAGCTGGCTCTCCTAGGCTGTTGCTTGAACTACAAGCTGTACTTCCGCATTTTTGTATTGCTCACCAACCATGCTGCCACCGTGGACAAAAAAAGTATAGAAGCAGATCAAGAAAAAGACTCACCCCTCACTCTCTGTCTTAAACTTAGACCAAGCTCTGATCAAGCAGTAAAACTAGGCAGTGCTGATCGAATATATATCAAGATTATGTTACTGTATTGCCAATATTCTCACCTCAAATGTTTTCAGAAACATATTTTAGCTTCCTGATTAACTGTAATACAATATCAAATTTTGCCACATTTGTCTCAAGCAAGTTTGCATGTCACCAACCAGCTGGAACGATTACTGGTCCTTTGTGGCGCAGTGCATTCTGGTAGTTGTGGGTTTTTATACCTCTTGAGCAAAAGCGTATACCACAGTCCTTTTTCTCTGTTTTCTCTGGTCATGTAGCACCAATTTCAAAAGTATTTTGTCTTTCTATTGCATAGACAGCCAAGTTTCATGAAAAGGCTTCTTTCCAGCAGTGAAATATTTCTTAAAATCAACTGTTAATGTAACAATAACTCTGATACACTATCCATATCATCCTTCTGTCTCTGTTCATGCCTGAACTGTAAAATTTGCTGAGAGCACCACCAGCCACATGTAAGGTGGTTACTGCCATGTAAGGCTAGGAGTCTCAGCACACAGACATCAGGTCATCTTCTTGTATTATGGCACTTAAGGGACCGGACACAAGGTGCATTTTTTGTGCCATCAAATTCATTTGCAGGTGCCCTCAAACACCAAAAAGACACCACCAGTGTAACACCAGAGCGACGTCAGAACGATGCGCACACATTCCCAAGCGCCTATTTTTCAGGGCGCGACAGCTATGCCCTGAGATAAACACAATTCAACTTTTGGAACGCAACTGCACACACTTCATGTCATGTGACAAGGAACAACCAATCACAGCCACCAGATATCTTTCCCTTTTTCTGTAAATATCAGTCTGTGGTAAATATGGAGGAGAGGTTAATCATTTTAGTGCATGGCTAACCATACCTTAACATCTTATTCATATTTTTGGCCTAATACATACTTACAAAACAACACCTAGAAGAAGATCAGCTCTGCACTCAGTATTTCTGGTAAGAAGGATATGATATGGTGCTGTTTATGGTCACTTAGCACCCTCAGCCGCAACCTGCCGTCATGCCCTTGAAAGTTGGCATAGAGTAGGCACAAGAGTAGCTCCCAGCATCCAAACACAAAAGTCCTTGTCTTAAGCCAGTGTTTGGTTTGTCCATTCTGGGTAGGATCTGCTCTGTATGTAGATATACACAGCTCATATCAGCATGAAAAACACCCAAGCATATCTATGTTTCAGAGTGTAGGGTGGAATTGTTTGCACATGGTTCTTAACATGGAGGTGGCTGAGCTGATGGCTAGCAGCTAACAGTGCTAACTCCATTAAACAGCACTAACAATGGCAAAAGTGCTGACAGCTGCTGCTGCTGCTGCTGCTATAACTGACTGTTCGACTAACTGCTGTATGAGTGCAGTGCAGAGTGGCAGCTATTAGCTAACCAGTGGAACACACTCACAGGGACTCACATGCACTAACATACACACTGGGCTAGACCATCTACCACAACAAGGAACAGAGGCGCTCGGATTACAACACACACAGAGTTACTTCATTCTCTGCTCAGGACGCCATTACGCCACTATATCTTTAAATAGCAAATAGCGCTTTGCTGCTATATCAATGTTCTGAATCTCACATCCTTAAAAGCATGGCAGTAACAAAATGTTAAAATTATCAACATTTTGAAGTTTGTAGTCAGTTTGCACCAATGCTGGGGTTAGTTTCACCAGTGAAACTTAATTGGTCCAGCATAAAGTATTTTTACAACAGTTATGTGTATTTAAATATACCTTGCACATGGCTGAGTCACGTCAGGACCCATCTCAGCCTGGCATACTATAAAGCTGGAGATATATTTGCTTTTACCTACACATTCACTTGTGCATGATAGTTGCCCCACATATCCTGTATCCCTGATCCATGGCGATGTCAGAATTAACACCATAGTACCCTCCCTGAGTTTTGCTATGTTTATTGTTTATATCATGCAAATCCGGAGGTTTAATGCACTCTGATTTCTCTGGTGTGCCCTCTAGTGAAATGTCCCGGCAACACTTGTAGTGCATGAGCAAGTATGTAATCTATTCTGTTCACAACACAGCTGGTTGTCTACGTGAATGCCTGGTTAAAAACAACTATATCTCAGGCCTAAGAGAGGGGAAAAAAAACAACAGCCAAATCATTAAATGCAAATGGGCATCTTTAGTGGCCCTGCGCCTCACAGACTCTCTCTCTTCTAATCACCTTATCCTCTAACACATCTTTAAATGGCTTTTCAGAGCCTGCAGCTCTTTGGTTTATATAGTCATCATCTTATGGCAATTAAGTGTAGCTTAGTGGAGCTAGACAATTAACCTGATGTTATGTGCCCTTAGTCACCAGAACACTCCTGCTGGATTAAGCTGTCCCTGCATGGAGACAGCTGAGGGGATTATTTGGGACTTCAAAGGGGCATTTATTTGTGTAACCTCTCGTGTATGTGGGAATTAAAGGGGAATGCTACTCAATTGAAGACTTTATGTGTCACCTTTGTGAAACTGCATAATGAGTTCTTATTTTTCTAACTGGAACACATTATTCAGTGTGCGTAGAGTGAGTTTTGTGGCCTTTGAGCCCTGTTTAAGCACTGTTTAAAAATGCATACATTTGGAGATTTTTTTTCACTGTGTGACATCCCAGATCAGATGGCAGGCACACAATAATACATCAAAGAAAAACAAATATAACTGTTCTACAGCAGATGAAAAACCTGTGAACATTCATTACCTCTCCTCTCAGGACACAAATGAAGTTTGCACACACACCAACCTTGTAAGTGACTCTTGCCCTCAGCTGCTTCTGTTTCTCCATCTGAACAAGATAGCCGTCAGAGCTGCTTCTATGGATGGGGTAGGCTGTTTTTACACTCTGACCAGGGCTGAGCTCAGACTCCGCTCCTCTCAATGACTGTCGTATAGGGGGCAAAACTGTGTAGCAACCTGAACCCAGTGACGAAGGGGTGGTGGGTGTCCTTGGGAAGTTTTGTGGAAATTGCTTAGTGTAACTCTCATTTGGAATCCACTTCTGGTCCCCTTCTTCACAGGATACTGGCCCCTCTAATGCAGGTGTCCTAAAACACAGAGTTATTGGTGGATAAATACTGGGTCAACACATAATAAGACAAAGAAGCCATTCATATGTTGTGTCAGACACATTGGTGTATCAGACTAATTTTCTTTGCCTCACTGCTAGTCATTTTACATAAACCACAAGAATGCTGTCATCATTGTTTAAGGTTGTCCAGTATTTTGTTGGTTTTTAACCTAATTGGCCCTATTTTTTCTATCTGACTGATATTATTTGGTGCAGTAATTATCCAGTTTTCCCAATGGGATCCTTAACATATAATATCTTTCTTATATTTGTTCAGTAAAAAAAACGTATCAATCATTCACCTTTGCCATTGTTTGGGCCTACTCTCCAGGTTTCGGTTGCGAAGGTGTGCTTTTACCCCTTTCTGAGACTTCTGGTAGGACTTTCCTGGATTTGCTTGTTGACATCCAGGGGACAAGGTGAGTCCAACTTCAGATGCAGGGCTCCAGTCAGGACAGCCATGAAGTGATGCTAACTCGATGATGTCATCCTGGTCCCTCTGCTGGATGAATGGAAGGAGATGGGATGAAGTGTTGAGCAGGATGTTGAGGTGCATGGCGGGGAGCAAAGGCTGCGATGAGGTCGTCGTCTGAGGATCTGGCTGGGTAACAGCAGCTGGACTTGCCAATGGGGAGCTCAGACTGTCCCCCCCCTCAGCTTTGACCCCCCGGGCAGGGTGCTGCTGCTGTTCAGGGGGATTGGGGTGTTGTTTCCGCTGGGCTTTCTTCCCATCCCTGATCTGGGTGACCTAGGGTTAGAGTAGGATTAACAATTTGAGGATTACATTTTTTTTGATTGATGTAGAATGTAAGAGCAATAAAATGGCACTAACATAGAAAGGACTGATTTATGGGATTTTGTGATTTAAGTGTGTAGTGGTGTTAAAGGTATTCTACACAAGATTTTCTAAAAAAACAAAACAAAACATAGACTCATACAAACGTAATCCCTCTCAGTTATCACTAGTTGACCCACTAGAAGTGTGTGGTGCTGTATTTATGTGCAGAGACTCTGCCCTCTGCCTGTATTTTCTTCTTATTTTGTTTAGTTCCTGGGTTGAGCAGCAGGTGAGATCAGATCTTATTAAATATATTTATCAGGTGCCAGACCATAAGCAGCATGCAACCAAGAGTAATCTATGAAAATTGCAGACACAGCATCAACAAAATGCAAATACAGTATAGCATCGAAACGGCAAGTGGACCAAACTTGATCCGCTTTTACTTTCACTTTATACTCACTGCTGATACTGTTTGCAAACAGTAGTCAACAATTCCTGCATTGTATACCTTACATTCACAAATCCCAAACATATGGAACAATCCAAGCATGTAACATGTTTTTCCAAAAAACCAAAACAGAAAATGAGCATGTAATATTAGATATAGTCACTATCATACCTGACTTGAATGTTGGGTTTTAATACCAGCAAACAAACTCTATATATCGGTCTGATTTTGTCACCATCACATTCAAAGACTGCTGCTGTGAATGCTGAATTTTAAATCCACTGCAATGCTGTGAGATATGCTAACTTGCAAAGTATAGCTTGGCCTATTTCCGAAGGTGGATTGGAGCACAAAGCATCAACTCTAAATCTACCCATTTACACCACAAAAACAACAACAGACAAACATGAGCTCTAAATAAGAAGCACAATTCCATTCCCAAGTGTAAGAAGGGCTGGAGCTCTTCTTTGCATGATCTCCCCAAATTATTTAGCAGGAGGTCTGTGAGTGGGTGCCTCATGCATCTAATGCCGCTGATTTAGCAAACACCAGCTTTGCCCATTCCAGTGGGAAAATATTTATTCTCATCTGCTTGGCAGTGTTAAGGTAGCAGCTCAAGTGCTCAAAATAATAATGCTTCTCCAAACCTCTCCTTTTTCGCTCCGACTACTGGTTTTATTTTCATCTCTAGGAAGTCATAGTGCAACAATGCCATCAGTGATTGTGTCTACATTCCTGAAAGGAAATTAAAAGCCAAGGTAAAAGTGTCAAAACTGTACAGCATACACACAATACTGCAAAACAAACTGGATTTCACTTGGTTTTTTTAATTTAACTTTGACAAAATATGATAATCAACAACTGTTTCTCCCATGACAAAGATGAGATGTTTACAAGCTAAAAATAGATCTTATAATAAGAAGATAATCATAACAAAAGCTATGACAAAATGTATGTTTTGTTTTCCTTAACGAGACAAGACAAGATGGGACTAAAATGTTAGTGGGCTAGCGGACATTTAAAATGAGAGGAAGGAGAATGATAAATTATTTTATAAAATGTATTAGAAAAATATATTTAACTAGGAAGCCAAGAACGACCATACTTGCAATTATTTCGTAATGCTATATGCGCAGTATGAGAGTGGAGCGTCAACAGCTTGGTAAACGCCAATAAATAGTCTGTGCCGGGATGTTTCTATAACCTCCAAAACACTCCCACTGGAGCAGCATCTTTTAGCACCAGTTGTGAGTATCATCAATTAAACCTGTTAAAAACTCTGCTGGACAAATACAAGTTTGTAAATGTGTAGAAATTATTTGTAGTTTTAGAAAAAAATCTTTCAACTCCTCTTCTTAAATCCAGTTTCCTATACCAGTATTAGCTGAACTGAATTAGCGTAAAGAGAGAAAAAAAAAAAAACACGTTTTGACTAAATCCGGGTCCCCATTCATTTTCATGGACAAAATTTTTAAGGTTTTCTATAACCTTTCAAGGACCCATAATAAAATTTCCATAACAATTTACAACATATAACAGAATTGGTCCACAGAAATTGACCAGTAGAGCTCTGAGAGTGGGGCAGTGACAGCCGGCACTTTGGTCAGTCCATTGGTCAATTTGTTAAAAGACAAAAAAAGAATGCTCCAAACCTTCAAACTATCATGCTCTCCTTTTAGAACAGTTACAATAAAACCAAAGTGCACATTGGCGCTCCGAGAGGGAATTGTACGCTCTTGGGCATATATAGAAACATGTTAAACCACACTGTCACAACATTATCTTTCTTGCCCCACTTGCCTGGCATCAAACATATCAGATTCAAATTTTATTCCAACATAATTCTTGCTGGTTGGCTTACATGAAGGGAGAGACAGAACATGTGAAGAAAATCAAGAAACACACATGATGGTAAATGTGATGACACCCCCATTCCATTAGAGGTCCCTGCGTCTTTGTACTACTGTTTCCTGTTTGTATGTTGCAGATGCTGAAGGAAGGGTCATCATTTATTTAAGCTACTCTGGCCATTAATACCTCCTTCCCTTTGCAGTCGTTTGCTCTTCCCTCACTGGCGCAGCTGCTTTTGTTTATTACAGATGTCCACACACACCCATACACGCATACACAACTAATTGTTGACTTTCACATTTATTCTGCTCTTTATTGTTACTTTTGTAAATACATAGGCTTTTACCCTTTTGTAAGCTCTTCTGGTCTCCCATCTTTGTTGCAGCCTTTGAGTCAGACTGTAACACTCAATTAAAACGTCACACATCAATGCATATTAGCTCTACATAACGTCAACAGCTTCAGAAAATACATTTTCCTTTATGTTACATTCTGCGAAAGGTTATCCACGGTAGACTATTGTAAAAATGTATTTCATTACACCCAACAAAATTCCATGAGTTTTCAAAAACTTTAAAGATTTTTTTTTAATTCCGTGGCTTTCAGGTTTCCATGACCATGGGAACCCTGCTAAAAAATGACTTCACGTCGACTAAAACTGGACTAAAACATTTTGAGTTGTCGTCAACCAAAACTACACTAAAACTAAAGGATAACAATAAACAAAATGAGCCAATCTAAAAAGCATTTTTGCATAAAATTCAGGCTAAATCTAAGGTAGCCGACAAAATTAACAATGGATTGGGCTGGCAGGTCAACCAAGTTACCCTCAACTGTTGAGTTTTCTGGAGCCACATCTGGTCAGGGTCTGCACTGTCCTCTTGACTTTCTGCGCTGGTTGTCTCCTTAGGAGTTTCATGCACCTTTAGACAGAAGACAAAAAGGGAAAGCAACACGCTGATACAGAAGAATGTTGAAACAAAAGTGCTTTATATTTTTTCGGTCTATAGACTGGGAACTGAAGCCTTTACTAAAGCCCATTAAAACCTACACAACTACACCTACTCAGGGGTATCAATACTTCACCCATTACTATCAATGCCTGTCCTCTTTGGCCACATCGTATTACATCAATTTGCTGTTTCAGTTGTTCCTAATGTACCCGTTTGTGGTATGGAAATATGGTTTGTTAATGGTGTAATGAAAATCATTTAGTTAACTTCAGGACTCCCCTCAGCGGCAGAGGACCATCTGAGTGGATCAATAGTATTGACAGGCTGAAGACTTTTTCACTGAATGCCACTAATTCTGTGAGCTTGAATAGATGAAGGTCACAAGGAATGAGTGGATCCAGCTGTAACATATCCATCAATAAGTGTGTTTCAGATTGCATCTAATATATACCACTATTATGCTGAGAAAAATTCAAGGCACTATTGGACAAACCACCTGGCCTTGTGCTGTTTCAACATGTAAGCTGCACAGTACTTTGTCTCTTGCTTTCAAGTAAATATTTATGCTTTTGGTGATTAACTGAACTATACATGAACTCACCAACCAAATAGGGAAATTATTTCAAATGCCATAGAGACTATTAGACGTTTGGGTGCTGTTACAGATGATCAATAATGATAAAGCAGTTGTTTGCGATCGGGAGCAGGTGTCGGTGACTACTGCATGTCCAGCAGTGTACACAGTCACATGCACACAAACACTTTGTGCCTCTCACCTTTACCCATTCCCCCTGCCATTGCCTTTTGTCACCCATTATAAACATCCCAATCAGCTGGAGCAAATGATCAAGCCTGTATTGCATTTTGAGCATGGTAAGCTGTGTAATATCTTTTTTACTAAATTGGGAGGCCCGTAATTGCTTCTCTGCGAGACGATGTCACAACAAAGTCTGGCAATTGCGGCAAGCTGTATTACCTCCTGTACCCGGGAAACATCTGCTTTTTGCAATGAAGACTTCAAAGGGGCTGTGGATCTTGAATTGCATTTAGCTGCTATTGTGGCCAGCCCAGGTAATCTTGATTAGGTGTTTAGACTGAGGCAGGGTATACAGTGGCAGAGAGCTCCCCAGAGCTTTGGTCTAAAGCTATTAAAAGATTGTACATTATGTTGCCCTGGCTTTGAAGTGAGGGCCTGCAAGAGGAGTAGAGACTCTAAGGGGTGAGTGCAATAGCAGAAGATTGATCTGCTACTTCTGTCTTTATCAAAGGAGGCCCAAGCCCCAATGAAGCCAATCATTGCTACCGCCACTCTGCCACTTGGCCGAGCTAAACATTTGCTGCATTAGGAAATTGTGTACATTTAATAACACGTCTAATTATCACAAGTTGCCTTCAGATGGCCGCGCTCTTCAAAAGACCAAATGGGGTATTTTAAAAGGACCAAGTAACAACCAGCTTGCCTGGACTCATATTGATTTGTGAAACTGATGCGATTTGTACGTGGAGTGTTGCTATCTTTTGCAAGAAGCTACGGACAAGGAAGGGTGGGAGGAAGCACAACAAGCTTTGTGATAAAACATGTGGTTATCCTAATGATGGAAAGTTGTTTCTGTTTCTATCTCTGACCTTCAATATTACATTTCAAAAATCTAATACTGAAGGTAGAAGATAATAAAATTCTCTCATGTTACTTTTTTGATCTTCAGCCTCTCATTTAATGTGTGAAAATAAACAGTCTTATTCCAAACTCCATTCTGACCAAGAGACATGACCAAAGATGGTTTTGAGAAAGCTGCTCATGTTCACGTATCAGCAAATCAAAAATGAACTGTCCAAGTTCATACAAATTTCATGTGTTTATTCTATTTTGGGGTGGATTGTATGAATACTTCAATTAACTGCAGTTTTTAAACAGTCATTATTTTATTTTACGGAGTCTGTTTCTAAAATATTGTTAAAAAACTACTTTGCTTTAAGTCTATTTCTAATCAGCTTTGTTGATACATTATACTGTTGCCACAACACACCCAAAGCATAGATTAATCCTATGATGAAACAGGAAATAGACTACATGCAAATTGTTGCCCCGTCTTTTGTGCCTTATGTCCCCCATTAAGTAAGACACGTCTTTGGGGAGACGGGGCAATGGAAAACTAATAAGCGAATTCAGAGGGAAATGACAAAACACAAGGGTTCCGGAGAGGGAAAGGCTCTGGCTCTGTTTACCATTGCACAAAGCTAACGGCTCTTGACTATGTAAATGGTGATGATATGAGACATTGTAGAGGGCTGGGGCTCAGATGGTTGGGGGTATTATAGCCAGCAAACAGTCTTGTGGCACAACAAATGGGGAATGCGGGCCATCCCGACCAATTATGCCACTGTGCCAGGTGCAGGGACGTCTAAGAGCCTATTGGTAACCATGCGTCTCTGATGTTCTTGTTGTACACATCAACTCATAATAAGCACTGCATAGCCAGACATGGCTCTTTTCATATGGTGGAGAAGAAGGCAGATGAAAACAGCTACGCTCCTCTACCAAATTAATGTTCCAGACTGGGTCGGAGCAAACATCAGGATATTCTCTTAGTAGTCTGAGATGACAATAAAAGACATATAGATACCAAATAATATTTCTAAATCAGCATAAGCTTGGCTCATGCAGAAGGAAATAAAAAAAAACAGCAAGAAAAAACAAAGAAGCAAATAATCTTGGCCTATATTCTGCTCATGGGAAAAGCTGCATTCAAGCGACTGCCTATTAATAGTGTCTCTGAGATTAGAATAAGCTTTCAAGTATAAATATACTGACAGTTGGCTACTTTTCTTATCATCTAAGTGCACAGTAAATACAGATCTAAAATACAAAAAAAACCAGCAGTGGTTGTGTCTGTGCACTAACAAGCCCCAGAACTGACCTCTGTGTTTAAAACAGCTGCACACTGTTTATGAGTGTAGCCAGGGTTATATGGATCAAGTTGTTTAAGAAAAACACAGCATAAGTAATGGACAATATATTGATATTATATTGATATCATAACATGACACTAGATATCTTAGGTTTTGGATATTGTAATATTGTAGGTGTTATCTTTTCCTGCTTTAAAAGGCTGCATTACAGTAAAATGATGTAATTTTCTTAACTTAGCAGACTGTTATAGCTGTTATATTATTTCTCCTTAATCTAATTGTATACACATTTTGTAAATGCAACAAAAGTCAATCCTACAATACAGATATTGAGGTATTTGGTCAAAACTATTGTAATTTTTGATTTTCTTCCTATCAGCCTGCCCTACCACACCACAGTCCTTACTTTCATTGTCATTTGCTCATAGTACAAAAGCTTTACTTCCGGCCAAAGATAAAACAACACCACAAACTTGCCAATAGCTGTTTGGGCCTGATGCCTCGATCATAACTACAACCAGAATCCAATTTGTCCATGTCCAAAACAAACAATCTAAACTGTAAAACAAAAAAGCTCATTCATAGATGCTGGTAGATCCAATAGATATAGTACATTTTACCATCACCAAACAAGGCCAAACAACAGATCACAAGTAAGTGTAAACTCTCAAAGTCTAAATAGGGATTTGGAAGAAAAAAAAAATTTATATTTTATTCCAGTATTTTCAGTAGTGTCTTCATGAAACCTAATCTTAAGTCATGTAAGTGTAACAATAGCTGGACAGCCCAAGAATCATTATCAATGTTAGTGCAGCTCCTGGTGTCTGTTTCTGTAATTGCAACCTGTTTCAATAGAGGGCTTTCCTGAGAGTGGCCATTACAGAGCTGTGTGGGAGTTAGCTGTCACATTTCAAAGATCATATTCTCATTTAGTGATTGTAACCATGAGTTGATGTTAATGGTTGAGAAAAGTCTACGTTATATACAAACCTTTCTAACATTATGTGACGTCTCCTGCTTAAGTGCATGCACACGCATGTAGGAGCCACATTTGGATGTGTTGCGCCCCAGGGTTATTTTGTTGCGTTCCACCATGTCCTCTGTCAGTCTTTCTGGCTTTTTACTATGTGGGACCTTGGAAATTGTGGATGTGCACGTTTGCTGTTTTCCAGGGGGTCCTCCTTGTCTCCGTTCTTGCTGTTGGTAGGTCTTAAATTCTTGGATGGACATAGCATGCATATCCTTGGTCAGCCCAGGAGATCTGATAATATTTCCCCCAGCATTGTCATAGCTATTTTCATGCTTGTTTCTGAATCCTTTGTGTAAGGCTCTGTCACTTTCATTTTTATTGAAAAAGCAGGGTGGCTTTAAGTGGTCAGCCTCTGGTAATGGAAGCTGTAAAGCATGGCTGTGGGGAGATGTTACTGAGCTCGTCTGATCATCTGGTGAGTGTAGGCGGTACGGCTGGTCAAACTCATTGCCAGCCATATGAGGAGTCATCACCACAGATGGACTTGTGTCAACAATGTATCTGTACCCTCCTTTTATTACCAGTCCCTGCGTGTCACCACACGACTGACTGGATTGTTCTTTTGGGACTTGGTAATATTCCTCAATGGAAATCTGTGGGTTGTCATGGAAGCAGCCAGCTCCCCTCAGGTTGGTCCTCCAGTTGGGGTCATAGCGTAGGTCAGAATAGGCATCATCACTGGACAGCTGGCTGCAAGGTCAAAGAAAGACGATAGCAATAAAGATCAACACAACCAGTGCAACACCAATATTTGCATCAGTAAGTTATACGTTAGCTCTATTGCTAAGATCAATCAATTAGCCAAATATGAGATAAGAAACTACATGGAATTATCAAAGAATAAGTTCCATTTATGTATAGTGTAGTCTCAATCCTATTATGAGTAATTGATTTAATTGTTGGTAAGCAGCTTTATCAAATGACATTTCCATATCTAAAGGAAGTTTTACAGACACCTGAATGTCACATAGGCCTTTACTTAGAGGTCAAAGGAACAAGAGGCATTAGACCATTATTAGAATGATGATGTCCTCAAACAAAGAAAGGTAGGCCTTATTCGAGACTTCTGAAATTGAAACAGATGAGGGGGATTATGAGCCTGTATTTACAGATAATTTTCGTATTTTCACCTCCAGGCTCACTAATGAGAGTGTATTTGAGAGCTACTAGCGAGGGAATGGTTCACAAACGGCAATTTTCAGCTTATGAAATGGCTTGAAAATTGCAGGCTAAAATGCTCTTTCTGATGGTGATGAAAAGATCTCATTAAAATAAATAGCAGAGAGCCTCTTTGTTGTGCTTACTGGGAGGACGAGGGGAGCCTAATTCTCCTGCCGTTATGTTGTGCGTCGGGGGGGAGGGTTGCCTAGGTGTAGGGCCCTTCACTTTCGATGAGGCCAAAAGGGTAAGGGATGTCTCTCTAATGACTGAGACTCAAACAAGTTGGAGAATGCATTATAGACAACATGCAGCTGAATGTGATGCCTTTAACACTGGCAAAACACCGCAGTCTGATATTTCTTGCACAAGATACAGACACCTAAATACAAAAGCCAGTGAAATATTGTGACAAACACTGAATGGGAAAATGAAAAAACTGGCCATACGGACTATACTCAAATATCTTTTTGCAGTATTTGGAGTGAGGTAGGTGTAAAATATAGTTAAGAGGGATGAATGGACTTGTTTAAATAGGAATCTTTTGCTTGAATGAGGAATGCCCATTGGGTTTGTAAACTATGCAATAGCAATGTTTGAAAAGGCTTATCCGCTTTGAGGAGGCAGCAGCGAGGACTATGAGAACATGATGGGAATGGGACTGTATCCACTGCCTTGGCTCTATGAAATGGAGCCTTTTGTGAGAATATGTCACGGTCATTTTCCTCTGAAACAATGTACTTTGGAAGCGGACCCACACTTGGTGGGCATCAATCCGTGCAGGTTAATGACGGGAAAATTGAGAATGCCCCTTTTCTATTTTGGAGGGAAATAACTATCAGGCTTTGTCTGCCAGAAAGAGAGGGGGAAACAAGGGTACGAGTCGACAAGAGTGCAAAAACAGATGTGGTGTTGTTCTCACCATAGATGCCTACCTCTGCTCCCTCAAAAGAGAGAAAGAGAGATCTCCTTTGCAGCAACAATGATCCTTGTTAATGGACCACGAGTGACCACTTATTGTGATCCACCCAAACAAAACAAAAATCTAATTTCCCTCAAATGAAAGCTGTTATTCTGAAAGCACCTGAATTAGGCCGTTCTCACTACAATGTACCATCGGTGCCTGCATCTCATTAAATAACTGACACCACTTCATTGTTAAGTGATGAATGAGGGCTATTTATCTTTTATCATCTGTGTACTGTTTAAAAGTAAAAGGTCTGATTGTTGCTGCCATTCACCTTGTTGTATTCTATCTAAGCAGCACTATTATCTGCTTAATTTCAATTAATTTGTCACAGACAGTGAAAGTGACAGTCCAGTTCAATAGGCAAATTGAACAAGGTCGGGCACAACTCTCATCATGGTGAATAGTTTATATAATGCCACATGTTTATAGAATTATTGTGATGCACAAGGCTACACAGCCAATAACATGATCAAACATAACAAAGACTTATTTTCTATATATATTTTTTTTCACCAAGAAATAAAGACTGCAGGTGCCACTACCATCACATACTGCCATCTACTGGCCAAACTGCAGAATGCTACATGAGAAACAGATACATGTACTATAGAGTTACTTAAAGATAAGTCAGGGTATATTCTTCACTTCTGTTTTTGTCAACACTTTAGATTAAAGACTAAAATTAACAAGAATTCTGTGCGAATCAAAGTCTGATGTACTCTACTATTTAAAAGTTTGGAATCACTTGTTATAGGCCTATGCTGTTTTCCTTCAATAATGGCTATTAAAAAACAACTTCCATTTAGTTGATGTCCCCTAGTGTTGCATGACAGAGAAGAATAGTGTAGGAACCTTTTTCCCCAAAATACCCTTCAAATTTCAATTTGTTTTTCAGCCCAGAAAAGCATCAGAGACCTTTGATCATTATTAAATCACAATGGTGCAACTGGGCTTTAAAAATCAAGTTTGTCCGTTTTTCTTTGGGCCTTCTGTCGTCTACGTGGTTAACTTGAATAGGTTTTAATTATGATTTCTCAGTCCATGATATGTTCAGCTAATATTCCCTGATCCAATTCTACTAGTGCTAATCCTATAGACTTTGTTTTATTGTGATGTCTGAAGAATACCTTTGCAAAATCAACATTTTGCCTGTTAGTTCCAGTTTGTTATAGGAAATATCGCATGCGCGTAGATGGCACTGGGGACGGGGGGGATATATTTGTATTTGTTTTATAGCCTAAAATAAATATTTGTTTTGTAGCCTAATGCTGAGTAGCTAGTCTGACAATAATAAGAAGGCATTTGGATTTACCTGAAGTAGGCTAAATGTAAAATAACAGCATTCTAGGCTGTAAGTGAATATCTTTAATGTTGTTATTTCTATGTATAATGTTATTTTAGTAAGCAGCAACAGTTTGATCATGTATGGCTAGTGTTGATCAGGTAGGCTTTTGTTTACCAATGTTCATTCAATCAGAAAACTCACGATTCTAATGTTTATTTCAGCTTCAGTTATTAAGCAGATTCACTCAATTAGTTATTTTGTGTAAATACATATATATATATATATATATATATATATATGTATTTACACAAAATAACTAATTGAGTTGGAATCATTTGCTGACAGCTTGGTCCCCCCCAGTTCAAAAATCCCATCTGCACCCCTGAAATATTGTGCTGTAGACACTATAATCTGTTCCTATTTAAATCTGCACATATTTTATTGCTAAGCTTCCAGTTTCTCTTCTTCAGTCTGGCTGAACCATTGCACAGCGTTCTCTTCTGTAAAGAAGTCTTTGAATGACCTAGGTGACATGGTAGGGAACAAGGATACTGACTTTAGATTTTGGCATCGAAAATAAAATTTGGCAGACAAATATTTGTCGGAAGCTCTGAGACATGCAATGGATCCAATAGTAGCATTTACTTTAGAAATATGGAATGTTATTGTGAAAAAACACATATTAAAAAGAGGGGTTCACACACTAAGGTGGTTTGCATATGATTCTGTTTAAGCCAGGGATGTATTAATGAACATTTAAGCAATGGGCACAAAAAGGCATGACAGCAATGTGTACTGTTTCAGAAAATGGCAAATTCATGAGCTTCTAAGAGCTAAAGATAAAGCATGGTCTGGAAAATGAATACTTTTTTAGGTACATGCAGTTAAGGGACTATTTCTCAAAAGAGTTGAGGTCAGAACCAGAGGAAACTTAAAAAAATGTGACTGAGGTGATTGTGGAGGCATACAAACGGAAGGGTTCTCTGGTCATCTCTGTTTTCTACCTTTGGGGGGAAGTATGGGGGGACTCAACACTATACATATAAGCCAAACGTGAAGCAGAGTTAAAGATTCAAAAATAGAAGAAAATTAGTATCAAATGCGTGAGATGCAATGTATACCCACAAACTCACTAGTGTGGAGGGAATTCTGCTGGAAGAATTCAACCCGCTTTTTCGTGACACCCAAAATAAAAAGCAGGCAGTTTAGTACACAGCAACAATGTTGGAGGCTGTGTGGGAGCATGGAGGTTGACCACTCGTATATTTTTTGGAACTGTCCAAAGATCAGGTCATACTGGGAAAATGTTAATGTGGCTGTTACAAATGTTTTGGGATCTGAAATCCCAAATACCTGCCTTGTGATCTTGTATCTTGTATCTCGGCAACATTAAAGGTGTTGTGATGAGAGAAGATATTTACTTAACTAAAGTTTTACTTGAAATGAGTAAGAAAGCTATGACCAAACACTGGCTCAAAGTAAATTTCGAAACTGTCCAAGAAGTTTTTGTGATGGAAAAGTTTTGAGAGTTAAAGAGAATACGTTAAAAAAATATGTGATATATGATATATATATATGACACATGACACCAATTAAAAGAATGCCTAACTTGAAGCCACTTATTTAAATACTGAAACTGCCCCAGACAACCAATTATTGTTACTTTATTTTTTTTTTTTGGTTTGTGTATCGCTTTGTATTATTTTTGTGTCACTGTATTCATACTGTTGATATATCTGTCAAAACTCAATAAAAACGTAAGCAGAGAAAAAAAGAAATAAAATTTGGCAGTGTAAAAAAAGTACTGGCTAATGTAACACACTTCCATGCACTTAAATCTAATTGTATTATTTTATTTCAATGATTTTTTTTTTCTTTTTTCATTTTAATGTGTTTTTTAATGACAATATTCTTATTCTTTTCCTCATGTCAGTCTTTTTTCATGCTGTAAGTTTCTACCCAGTGATGGTGCGTTTCAGTTTCAATGCCCTCTCACTGTTACAATGTAAAAAGGAAGGTCTGAGTAGAGGAGGCGAGGAGAGTGTGATTTCCATATCTTCTGCATACAAAGAAGAGAGATAACTCTTGACCCTGTTGTCCCCCCCTTTAGTCTCTGACATGACCGCACATCTATAGCAACGGCAACCTGGAGCTCCCACTCCATATCTCTGATTCTGCCAGCAAATATGGAAGCCACTGCCGTAGATGTGTGGTCATGCCAGAGACTTCATAGTGGACGACAGGTTCAGGAAGAGTGACATGCTACATTCATTCTTTATAGGTAGCTTGAAAAGATTTTTTTAATGACTGTGTTTTATTTTTCAGTGTGTTTTTTCAGTGCCAATTAAAAATGGTCAGATTGTACTGACGCTCTGAAGCTGTGAACAGCTGTGAAGTGCATAATTTCAAAACACTGCGTCGTAGCTTGTGTCAAATGAGGAAAACCTCATGACTGATGATGTGCAAAGCTTCAAACCTCACTGGTGCTTCAGTGCTTTATTCAGTTTGACAGTTTTGAAAGGCTTGCAGTGAAACTTTGTGCTTGGCACATTAGTGGGATAAGAAGAGAGGAGAATAACTGAGAAATATGACAGTGTACATTAGAAAGGCATAATCATAAGTATGATACTGAAAATCATTTTCCTACCACAGTGGAAACTGAAGTTACACCAATAATTTAGTGGCAGAAAAAAATATTTTATATCAGGGCAATGTTTCCTATTAATTATCTGAATTAACTCATATAATTTGTCCCACTTTGGCTTTATAATGAATGAAATCATTTTTACTCTCTACATCTCTACATTGTGCAACACTGCATGTGAATGTTGTGTTTTCAGCAAAGCATCTTCCATTCCTCATCTGTCAGCCCATGCTTTGTGGGTTTGACTTGTTTGTTGCGTAATAACAATTCCTATTTTTACAACAAATGTGTTTATGCAGAGTCCAACAAAAAGGATTGCCCTAAGGCCCGTCCCTGGGCCAGTGATAAGTTATCTCGAGCAAATTACTACCATCGGCCAGTTGTTCCATCGGGCCAGCGTATTTAAATGAAAAATGTACTTTTAATAAATTTCTAGGCATTGCTCTGTGGGTGACATCACTGTCTGCTCTACTCTGTGAGACTTTATTCTGCTCTGCTCTCATGTCTGTCTCCAGCTTAAGCAATTGCCAAAATTACGCCCCGTATCATAAAGTCCCACACTTATACCATGAAATACCTACATTTCTGAAAATGCGAAGTGCTGTAAACAGCCTAAGTAAAGCTCCGAATAATTTTCTGCACAAATAAAAAGAAAGCCCTAAAGCTTCATATGGCCTCATCTGCCTACCCCTTGTGCCAATACCTGCATGTCATTGCCAATGTTTCCTTTTTCAGTTCAGGTTTTGTTTTCAGTGCCAAAATCTAAACTCAATATCCTGGCTCCATAAACGTGTTCTTTCATTACTATGAACACACACACAGGTCCTCACATACTGACGCTGAAGCTGAAAACACGGCCATTGTTTTTATAATGATGGGACTGTGGGTCGTTTAGCTCAGAATATTTCTTGACCTCAACGAGTCTCTCCTCATCCATTCTTTATCACACACAAGACACAGCAACAGCTACAGAGTTCTCTTTATGCATCAATGTGAGGAGAGGAGTCAAGCTGCCATAGGAGGACAGAAAAAGAGCCGGAGCTGGTATGTACAAGCAAATGCATTTAATTCCAGGGTGGCAAGGCTGTAAATACGACTGTGGCGTGAAGTGCCACTGGGTGGTGCGTCCAGGAGGGCCGACATGCGTCTAGCTGCCATTGGTGTGGGGTTGTACATTGAAAAATAATAGGCATTTTTTGACACGCAGCTTTGCAGCCAGTGTGTTTTGGCCTTTAGTGGTGGTGGTTCAGTCCGACTACCAACCCAAAGCTTCAGCATTTGACTCAACGAAGTGAGACTCAACAATGAACCATCTTTCTCTAGAATTGCATAATGACAAACTAAAACATTGCTGGTTTTTGGTCTTCATGGAGTTTATTTACATATCTTAAAAACAAGCCTAGATCTTTGTTTTACTGAAGTTTTCTGAAGTTTGCTGCAGTGATATAGAAATGTACTTTCAGTGTGTCTGTTACAGCTTGATATCAATACTAGGTGTCCTTTCATGTACAACAAAACACACTTCTAACCACAGCTATTTAATGCTGGTATATGCCCTGATGTTACTTTTAAGCAATTACTGAATTGCAACCTCAAATGCCCAACATAAAAAATGTTTAACTTACCTTGTTTCTTGTCTTTCATCTATTTGTGTGTCCAAATATTCTGTCTGTAAGAGGCTGGGGTTCCTTTTGGCATGGGGGTGTGTTGCTACATCAAGGCTATCATAAACCTGAAGATCTTCAGTTTCATCATCATCTGAATTGTCATCCTCTTCCTCTCCCAGCTGTAAGCTGTCAGTGTTCTCCTTTTGAGGCTGTATGTATTTAATTTGGTCATGGTGGCCAATACGCATTTGTAGCTGCTTTTGGTAAACTCTCTCTTGGGCCAAGCTCTCTGTGTCTGACTCCACAGAGTCCCAAGGCTTGGCCAGAACTGTTTGTCCCAGAGAAGGATGCTTCTTTTGCTCAGTGTTCAACACTTTACATATCTCATCATGTTTGACTTCTTTATCCATGCTCACATTGAAGGTGAACAGTCTGCTTCACGAAGATCTGATCATCTATGTGGTCATCAAAATGTAACTGGAGAAGGTTTCAGCAGGAAAACACTGTCCACACCAACACTGCAACCAACAAACACAAAAAGACAGCTTTATTGTACAAGATGAACAGCAGGCTGTGAAAGGAGCAAGTATGTTGAGCATTCATGTATTTATTTCATAGCTTTGAACTGCACACACCTGTCTGGGAAAAGTCTAAGTCAAAGATAGGATTCATCAAAATATTCCAGCTGGCAAATCTGCTGTAGGTACTTTCATATCTTATAATTCTTGACACCTTTATGACAACTCCACAAAAAAAAAGTCAGAAATAACCCAGGCGTACAATGTAAACTTAAATGAGTCATTGAATTCCTACACAACATTTGTCAGTATTGTCTCAAGTGTAAGAGTACTGGCAGTTTTTTGATTCATCTTTTGTACACAGTTTTAATGTTCAAGAAACTTGTTTCACCAGCCAAATAGGAACAGTTCAGCTTCATTTCTGCAGCCAAGCACAAGATATATGAAGTACTGGTTGTACAGTCACTTTCTTTACAGATTTCTCAGTGCCACCTGGAATATGCTCAACACATTAGTCAGTGCTGGAAACTAACACAAGAAATTGTCAATCTGCCTTTTTCAAAGCAGACATTTTGACTTGTCACAGTAGGAATAAGTACAGTGACACTGACTATGGCTCCATTTTATCACAGTGTTCCAGTAAAGCTGTGGTTTGCACAATACCAGGCCCCTGCAACTGAAACACCTTAATGGTTTTCTGCCATCATTAATTTTAAGTGTGATTACATGGACATGAATAACCTGTTTATGAGGCTTGTCCTGGACCAATAAAGAGGATCACCACCTGAATGAAGAATTCCATTATGATACTTCTCTGGTTTCTGGCTTTGACAGAGTCGCTCATGTTCACAAATATTGATTGAACTTTACTAGACCATGGAAATAAGTCTCAAATTTGTGATGTCATAGGGTTTAATAAAGTCTGGACCCATAGAGTGTATGGAATGTATGTATCCAGAACATTCCCTGGGTGCTCTCAGTGTCATCTAGAACATCTTTCCCCATTAACTGACCCTTCTTTCAAGCCCTGCCTATTTGTGTTGGTTCTTCAATGTGTCAGAGCTAGCTAAGACTGTGCAATTTACATATACTCTGTGCAATATTCCACATCTACAAATATATTATGTATATATTGTAAATAGTTTTGTGTACAGTTAATTCACTTTAGTGCCTACTTACTTAATCTTTTTTTTTTTTTTATCCAAGTATACATTGTCACCCTCTTTTTCTGCCTGTGCTTTGAGCTGCTGTGACATGTGAATCTCCCAAGTGTGGGATTAATAAAGCTTATCTTATCTTATCTTATCTTCTTATCTTATCTTATCTTATCTCATCTTATCTTATGGAGCCTACTAACTACACTCCCTAAAAAAATAGTATCACATTTTTGAAAAAGCGAAGAAGCAATTCAAGAGAGAAGCAGACAGAGGGGTCTATAACGTGTTTAAAGGATAGGCTACATCCAGGATGTCAAACTCAACAGCAAAAACAGGTGAAAAAGATTATGATAGTTAGAAGCTTAAGCCTAACTATAGGCTACAGATCACAGTGTAAAAGTGAACCATCACATTAACGATTCAGACATAAGACAATAAATACAAAGGGAAATTTACCGATATTGACCAGATCACAGTGTGTGCACATGAAAGGTGTTTAAGGAATAGGCTACACATGACGCCAACTTTCATCCCATTAGATAACAGTGAGAAAAACTGATCAAGAACACCATTCTTATAGTCTACATTAATTTCAATTGGGCTAAATGAGCGAAATGAAAGCATCCATTGTTTTCCAGGACACCCCCTGAGATCGTCACTTACCTGGCAGTTGTGTGAAATTGAAAGAAAAATAGGTGTGTATTTTTTTCCCCTGGAATAAAGATAAAAGAAAACGATAACTGTTGAACACTGTTGTCAATTGTCTCGACAACAGTCTCGATATCGCTTAACAATGTATCGCAACCCAAAGTTAGCGTTAGTAGAAAAGTCATCTGTCAACTAGCTTAGTAGCTATCGCATGTTTTGCTAAACGACGCTAGCGTTGGGGTAAAAACCAACGAAACTCCAGTTTAACTACTTAAAAATATCCACTGCGTTTCTTGTATTCACAGTGACAATGAAAACAGCACGAAATGTATCGTGCTAATTAAACATAAAGGGAAAAAAAAAGTAAATGAACTTGTTCAGACACACCTGTTTCCGTCAGTACTCTGTAAACCACTGCAACCATAGAAACGCCGATGCATACGTGTTGCCTTCAAGTGCCCCTTTGGGGGCTCCGACTTTTTTTTCCAACAAGGGGTCACAAGTATTACACTACAGGTGTGTTTGTGTATCGGACATTTTATCACAGCCAGAAAAAAGTTTACTTAGGATGAATGGCTCCGTTTTTACTCTAATCGTTAGGTCATACATTCAAGAAATGACTCATAGTACCTGACATGGAACACCCGTATGGAATAAAATTTTTAATAAAACCGGTGCCTTTCGTTTTGGTTATAGCTCAGCCACAATCTGAAATACTACTTCACTCTTGCTGCATGCGTCCCGTTCCTCATCTTTGAAATATTGTATACGTACCGAAAAATACTTCAATTAAGCAAACGTTGTTTCTGGCACAATGGTCGGACATTTTACTGACGTCATGCTCCACCAGCATACATCTTCAGCTGGGATGGTGAAAGGCAGCCGCTTTAACCAGTAGATGTCGCCATCTAACCATTTATGTATTCACTCTGGGTGGTTTGTTTTTCACATCATGCGTCGTCTGCATTGCCTGTAATATCTATGGTTACTTTGTCATAAATTCCTGTAGAACTTCTGTATCTCAGCACACCAATATCTGAATCCCCTTCAAGACCCTTACTAGTGAAAAGGGATCAATAGCGCAACCATTCTACAAACTGAATACACTAATGTCCCAATTTTAACTGCTAGTGTATTATCACCTTGAAGTTGAAGGGCTCTGCAGAGCCTAAGAAAGACAGTTTGGCAGAGGGTTAACAAGATTTTTATTGTCAAGGCAGTGACATCTCAGTATACAAAACAATTAACCAGACATGAACCAACAGCTCAGTTGTGCCCACTACAAGTTGTTCCCAGGTGTGTCGCAAACCATGCAATAATTGTGATCCCTGAACCCACTTTTTATTTCTTTAAGTTGCACTCTTAAGCTTGTTGTAACTTGTGCTATAAGAGGGTTCCTTTCTTAGAAAACATCTTAGGAGTAGTGGATGAGGCGGGGATTGTTTAATCGACCTCCTCAATGGTTGGTCCGGAGGATCCACCGCCAGGAGCAGCGCCACCAGCTCCAGGGAAGCCACCAGGCATGCCCTCTGGCATACCACCGGGCATGCCACCAGCACTCTGGTACAGCTTAGTGATGATGGGGTTGCACACCTTCTCCAGCTCCTTCTGTTGATGTTCATATTCATCCTTCTCGGCAGTCTGCAAAACAAGGACATTTTAGTGTTCTGGCCAATTAGGTCATGACCAAAAAAAAAAAAAAAAAAAAAAGTGAAAAACTGCAAAGACAGACTTACCTGATTCTTGTCCAGCCAGCTGATGACCTCATTGCACTTGTCCAAAATCTTCTGCTTGTCGTCTTCACTTATCTTGCCAGCAAGTTTTTCATCCTCCACAGTCGACTTCATGTTGAAAGCGTACGACTCCAGGCCGTTCTTAGCAGACACCTTGTCACGCTGGACATCGTCTTCAGCCTTGTACTTCTCAGCTTCCTGGACCATGCGTTCAATGTCCTCCTTGCTGAGACGACCTGAGAACAAATGACAGAAATTGTCAAATTTGTGTCACAGTATAAAGAGTGGGTTTAAGATAAAAAAAAAATAAAAAACTCACCCTTGTCATTGGTGATGGTGATCTTGTTCTCCTTGCCAGTGCTCTTGTCTACAGCAGAGACATTCATGATACCATTGGCATCAATATCAAAGGTCACCTCGATCTGGGGAACACCACGGGGAGCAGGAGGGATGCCTGTCAGCTCAAACTTGCCCAGCAGGTTGTTGTCCTTGGTCATAGCACGCTCACCCTCATATACCTGTAGGAAGTATTCAGGGTTCAGCAGGGAATTTTGACAACTATGTCTACAATTCTGACAACTTTATTTCGTTCTGACATCCAAGGAAGGTCATGGCCATCTTTGGTCTTGTGACCTCTGGTGGAAACTACGAATGGCAGGAATAAACGTCATCACTGCGAAATTGAAGGACATGTATAATGAATTGTGTGCTTACCTGGATGAGCACACCAGGCTGGTTGTCAGAGTAGGTGGTGAAGGTCTGAGTCTGCTTGGTAGGAATGGTGGTGTTTCGTTTGATCAGGACAGTCATGACACCTCCAGCGGTCTCAATACCCAGGGACAGAGGGGTGACATCAAGAAGCAGCAGGTCTTGGACATTCTCAGACTTGTCTCCAGACAGGATGGCAGCCTGGACAGCTGTAAAAACAAGCATTTGTTAGACATTATGACAGTTTTGAAGATAGAAACTCTAATGTATGTCATTAAGGCCCATGTCCTCCAGCTGCTACAGCTGTGCTGCTCTTACGGTGAAAGCCAACTGAGAGAGGGCAATAAACTGGTGCATGCATCCATCTGGCTTAAGACTTACCAGCTCCGTAGGCCACAGCTTCATCTGGATTGATGCTCTTGTTGAGCTCCTTTCCATTGAAGAAATCCTGGAGCAGCTTCTGGATCTTGGGGATACGGGTTGAGCCACCGACCAACACGATGTCATGGATCTGCCCTTTATCCATCTTGGCATCACGGAGTGACTTCTCCACAGGGTCCAAGGTGCCACGGAACAGGTCAGCATTGAGCTCCTCAAAACGAGCCCTGGTGATTGAGGTGTAGAAGTCAACTCCCTCGTACAGAGAGTCGATTTCAATGCTGGCCTGGGTGCT